TCAACACACGTGCACATACCTGTAACACACATGCACATACCTGTACAACACACGTGCACATACCTGTCCAACACACGTGCACATACCTGTTCAACACACGTGCACATACCTGTAACACACGTGCACGTACCTGTACAACACACATGCACATACCTGTAACACATGCACGTACCTGTAACACACATGCACGTACCTGTAACGCTCATGCACGTACCTGTAACACACATGCACGTACCTGTAACGCTCATGCACGTACCTGTAACACACATGCACGTACCTGTAACACACATGCACATACCTGTACAACACACATGCACATACCTGTAACATACATGCACATACCTGTAACACACATGCACGTACCTGTAACGCTCATGCACATACCTGTAACACACATGCACGTACCTGTAACACACATGCACGTACCTGTACAACACACGTGCACGTACCTGTACAACACACGTGCACGTACCTGTAACACACGTGCACATACCTGTAACACACGTGCATGTACCTGTACAACACACATGCACGTACCTGTAACACACATGCACGTACCTGTAACGCTCATGCACATACCTGTAACACACATGCACGTACCTGTAACGCTCATGCACGTACCTGTAACGCACATGCACGTACCTGTACAACACACATGCACATACCTGTAACACACATGCACATACCTGTAACACACATGCACGTACCTGTAACACACATGCACGTACCTGTACAACACACATGCACATACCTGTAACACACATGCACATACCTGTAACACACATGCACATACCTGTAACACATGCACGTACCTGTAACGCTCATGCACGTACCTGTAACACACATGCACATACCTGTAACACACATGCACGTACCTGTAACACACATGCACGTACCTGTAACGCTCATGCACGTACCTGTAACACACATGCACGTACCTGTAACGCTCATGCACGTACCTGTAACACACATGCACGTACCTGTAACACACATGCACATACCTGTACAACACACATGCACATACCTGTAACACACATGCACATACCTGTAACACACATGCACGTACCTGTACAACACACGTGCACATACCTGTACAACACACGTGCACATACCTGTACAACACACGTGCACATACCTGTACAACACACGTGCACGTACCTGTACAACACACATGCACGTACCTGTACAACACACATTCACATACCTGTAACACATGCACATACCTGTAACACACATGCACATAGCTGTAACACACATGCACGTACCTGTAATGCTCATGCACATAGCTGTAACACACATGCACATACCTGTAACGCTCATGCACGTACCTGTAACACACATGCACGTACCTGTAACACACATGCACATACCTGTACAACACACATGCACATACCTGTAACACACATGCACATACCTGTAACACACATGCACGTACCTGTAACGCTCATGCACATACCTGTAACACACGTGCACGTACCTGTAACACACATGCACGTACCTGTAACACACGTGCACGTACCTGTAACACACGTGCACGTACCTGTACAACACATGTGCACGTACCTGTACAACACACGTGCACGTACCTGTACAACACACGTGCACGTACCTGTAACACATGCACGTACCTGTGCAACACACATGCACATACCTGTACAACACGTGCACACACCACACACACAAAAAAGAAGTCCAAAGCTGGGCACAAAGTGACTCACCTGTGATCCCACCAATAAGGAAGCTAAGATGGGGGGATTTCTGCAAGTTCAAGGTCAGCCTGGCCCTTTTGATAAGTTTCAGGCTAGTGTGGACAATAGAGTGAGAGCCTGTCTTAAGGAAACAAAACAAAAATTAAGTCAGTCAAGCTCATGTTGAAACATCCCTGAATTGTTACTTTTCTATTGTGATAAAACGCCATGACCAAAGGACAAGATGGCAGAATGAAGGCATGGTGGCTGGAGCTGGAAGCCTGCCCCAGGTGGGGTGGTTTGGCAAAAAATGGGCCCCAAAGAGAGTGGCACTATTAGGTGTGGCTTTGTTAAAGTTGAAGTGGCCTTATTGAAGGAAGTATGTCACTGTGGAGGTGGTCTTTGAGGTCTTGTATATGCTCAAGTCATGCCCAATGAATGTCTCAGACCACTTCCTGTTGTCTGCAGTCTGCAGGATCAAAATAGCAGCTCCTCTTTCATTACCATGTCTGCCTGCACATCACCATGCTCCCTGCCATGATGATTATGGACTAACTCTCTGAACTGTAAGCTGCCACCTCTATGAAATGTTTCTTTTATAAGAGTTGCCTTGGTCATGGTGTCTTCTCACAGCAATAAAACCCCGAGACACCCAGTGACATCCCCCAAAAAGGCCACACTTTCTAAATTTCCCAAACAGTGCCACCAGTCAGGGACCATGTGTTCAAATGCCCAAGGGAAACTGGGACATATTCAAACCATCACAGTCCCTGAAATTTCTTCCCAAGTAGTTAATTCCATTTATAAAAGTCTACACCTATTTCACTGAGTTGTAACATTTAATGCATGCACACAGTGTGCAGAATGTCAAAGGCAGCCGTGGGAAAACGAAAAGAAGTTTATTTGGGGCTTTTTTGTTGTTGGTTTTGGTTTTGGTTTTGAGACAGGGTCTTACTGTATAGCTAGGCTGGCCTGGAACTCACTGTGTAGACCAAGCTAACCTGAAACTTTCTGCAAACTTCCAGCTTCTGTTTTACAAATACTAGGATTAAAACATGCTCTGCACACCCAGCAAGGAAACCTGTTTACAGGACTGGCAGGTAAAGTGAGCCACGCAATTATATAAACAAAAGACACGTTTACCAGGTCTAGGCTTCTAACACAGCTGAAATTATATGTGTGGAACACTTGAATATAATGTCTGGGACATGATAAACACAAAAGTTACCCCTTCCCTCCTTTCTGTGGTCCACTCTAGATGGTGTCAGTATCTTGGGTAGTTTGTCCTGGTAGCCTGAATTCACTTAATGCAGCTAAATGTTCTTGCAAGGCTTTTAGTTTCTTCTTACTTATGTTTCAATTCTTTCAACACTTGAGTGTCAATATATTGCCAGTTTCTACATTAAACACAATGTATCACAATAAATGCGGCCTAAGTCTGGGAGTATAATCAAAAATAGATTGTTTTTAGCCAGGCAGTAGTAACATACACCTTTTATCCCATCACTTGGGAGGGAGAGGCAGGTGAATCCTTGAGTCTACAAGAGTGAGTCCCAGGGCAGCCATAGCTACACCCTGTCTCAGATAGATAGATCGATAGATAGATAGATAGATAGATAGATAGATAGATAGATAGATGATAGATAGATAGATAGATAGGATGAGCCAACTCCTCCCAGATCGTCCCTACTTCCCTACCAACCCAAATCCACACTCTTTTTTTTTTAGATTTTTTTTATTAATTATGTATACAGTATTCTGTCTGCATGTCTGCTGCTGGCCAGAAGAGGGCACCAGATCTCATTACAGATGGTTGTGAGCCACCATGTGGTTACTGGGAATTGAACTCAGGACCTTTGGAAGAGCAGCCAGTGCTCTTAACCTCTGAGCCATATCTCCAGCCCCCCAAATCCACACTCTTATAAGAAAACAGGCATCTAAAAATAAGATAAGATAAAATAAAAACAAACCAGAATAGGACAAGACAACAACAAAAGTCAAAGAACAGAAGAAGCACCGGTGTTAAGACACACATAGAAAACCCATAAAAACAAAACAGAAATCATAATATATAAACAAGAAATCTGTAAGGGAAAAAAATTGCAGACAAAGCATTATGAAACAAAAAAAAAGAAAAAGAAAGAACCTCCAAAAGTACCATTGAGTTTGATTTGTGTTGGCCATCTACTGGGCCTGCCCTTAAGTGTGGTTTGTCTACCCAGTGAGAGTCTGATGGAGAAAGCTATTTTCCCTTACGAGAAGTTATCCATTGTAATAGCTTCTGCGTTAGGGGTGCAGTATGTCTACTTCCCCTCTCAGTGCTGGGACCCATCTGGGTTAGACTTGGACCACTCACACGCATGAAACCATTCCTGTTGTGCCTAGAAGGCCTTGTTTCCTTGGTGTCCTTACCCGCCCTGGCTCTTGTGATCTTTCCACCTTGTCTTCCGCAGAGTTCTCTGAGCCATGAGGACAGGGTTTGATGAAGACATTCCATGTAGGACCAGATGCTCTAAGACCTGTCACTCTCTGCACGTTGTCCATTTGTGGGTCTCTGTTTGTTCCCGTCTCCTGCAGGAGGAAGCTTCTGTGATGATGGCTGAGCAAGGCACCAGCCCAAGCGTATGGCACTATGTCATTAGGAGTCATTTCATTGCCACCTTCCTTTAGCAGACAGTAGTGTTTGGGTTTCCCCTAGGTCCATGGCCTATCTAGTCTCAGGTTCTTGGCTATCCCAGGAAGTGTCGGGCATGGGTTCCATCTCATGGAGTAGGCTTGATTCCAATCAGACAGTTACAACCTGAGGTTTTTCCGTGGACTCTCATGAAGGAAGGAGAGAACTGGCTTCTCTGACCTCCACAAATGCATGCCCACCCTACCCCATATTGACAAAAATAAAAGTGACTATATATATATTTAAGATAAAAGATTGTCTCTGCCTTCAAGCTAGTCACCATCACTTATTAAGCATAGTAATGCCGGAAGCCCTGGGTTTGATCCTCGGAAATGCACAAACAGGTAGAACATGCAGGCAAGCTAGTCAGAAGGCCAACATCTGTTTTAGTTACACAAGATTGAGGCTAGCTTGGGTTACATGAGACCCTGCTTTACATTTTTAAGAAATTGTTAGGCGTTTCATGTGGAGAGTGACTAATTTAAACCTCTTACTTGCTGATGTGTGTGGGGGTTAAGTTCAGCCTAGGACTGAAGGGGAATAACACACCTGTCCAGAAATCATTCAACCTGGGGATTATTGTACCAAACAGAGAAGTCAGAGAGAACTCAAGAGGAAATGAGAGTATGTAGCGGGTTTCTTTATGTTTTATGAGCATCACACCCAGGGATTGCCCCCAAAAGTTGTGCCTAAATTTCCCAGCTGGTCTGGAAAATCTGGTTTGCAGGGCAGGCACACCGGAAACTGCACGACTCACGGCGCTGGGCCACCAGGGGGCGCCAGGCAAGCAGCGACCAGAGCAGCGCGATGGCTGCGGCAAGGTTACTGCTGCGCCTGGCCGGACGCCTAGAGTCAGTGAACTTCACGCAGAGTGTGTGTGGTCTCCTGGGCGCCGGACAGGGACCCGGGCCGTGGCACACGCACTGCAGCTTGGAGCGAGGACAGCTTGTCCTTTCCAGCCATTCATTCCCCGGCGCCTCGGAGAGACTTCTAATCCAGGTCTGGTCAGGGAGTCGGGAGTCGGCAGGGAAAGTGAGGGTGGATTGAGGACCGGTCGGGGGGCGACGGGCCAGCTCCCACCGCGGGCACCTCCAATTTCCGAAAGTCCCACCCTGCTTCAAAGCCTTAGCCCGATCAACCTTCTTGTCAGAGACCCCCTTTCTGCCCTTTTGTGGCTCTGGACCAGAAGCCTGGGGGCTCCAGGACGGAGCTGCCCACAGATAGAGGTGTGGATGTGGGTGTGGCCGTTATTCTTCAGTCCAGTGACCAGACTGTCTTGTTGACCCGAAGGACATGCACTCTCCGCATTTCCCCCAACGTCTGGGTCCCTCCAGGTGAGCACCTAGGAACAGACGCTGTGGAAGACAGTGTCCTTTCCCTCCACATTGCTACTGGGTAGTCAGTCCTGTACAGTGGTTGCCCAAGGTCTGTGTCCACAGCCACAAACTTCCTCTGCCCTCTGGAGGATGGGCTCCCTGGTGGAGACAACCACCCACCATTCACTATTGGGTCCGTTCTTCTTGCAGGTGGCCACATGGAACTTGAGGAGGAGGTACCAGTCTGCCAACCCAACCAAGAGACCTATGAGTGGCGTCACCTTGGGTGTGGGCTGAGGGACAAAGGGGGTTACACTTTGGACATCCTGACCTGCTCCCTTTGACTCCCAGGTCCTGGAGTGTGGCCTTCGAGAGCTGCAGGAAGAGTGTGGGCTTCAGCTGCCCCTGGCCCAGGTCTCTTGTGTCCTTCTGGGGTTGTGGGAGGTGAGACAGACTTTCAACGACCCCTAAAGCCCACGGAACAACCCTTATCTGCCTTGGCCACTGGGGAAAAGAAACGTGGATAGTGTGGGTTACCCAAACCACAGCTCTCACCTGCGTCCCTTTTACCTCTTACCTATCATCCACTCCATGGGCGCTGGGCCAGCATTTTGTCTTCCTAAAGCTCTACTTACAAAGTTTCAAAAATAGAAATTCTCTCCACATGCTACATTGGTGTTGCTTTGTTTTGTTTTAGTCTGCCTACCCTCCTAGGCTGAGCTGGGGTTTCCCCAAATACCATCACCTCATTCTCTATGTTCTCGTGATATCCCGGGAGTCACAGCAGCAGCTCCAGGTAGGCCTGGAGTAAAGGACAGGATATAGCACCTGGCTCTGACTGGGACTCCAGACAAGGGGAGATAACAAGCTACAGGCTGCCCTTGCCCCTGGTCTGTCTTCTGCCTTCTCCTAAGTGATGGATCAATATGTCTAACCCCAGGCCCGGATCCAAATAAACCCAAATGAGGTGAGTGCCTTCATGTGGCTGGGGCCAGATGTAGCGACAGCTGTGGCCGCCACAGAAGATGGCACTGAGACCCCCAGACTTCTCCAGACCCTACCATCCTCTCTCTGGTAAGAATTTTACTTTAGCTATCGGCATTCAACAACATACATGCATATGCATACATGGGGAGATTGCAGTTTGGAGTTGCATGTAGCATGTGGAAGAGATTTATGAAGTGAGTTGGTCTACTGAGAATTAAAAGATCACCTGAGATCAAAGACTCCAAATGTTAAGGGTCCACCCTCCAGCTGACTAGCACTGAAGCCCTTGGTCTGAGCCCCTACTCTCCTATAGGAGAGTCACTTAACTTCTGCCGCATGAGGCTAACACTCGCTTGCCTTATGTAACAGCTGGGAGGATTAAATGGCCCAACATACTAAAGTTCATTGTAAGCTACAAGGCACAACCTAGACAGAAACTGTCATTCTCCAGTGCAACCGAACTGAAGGACGATGGAGGAACCCAGCCTCTGGTCCTGCCCATGTCCACACTCCTGCGGACAACCCCGACCTCAGCAGAGGACAAAGAGCGGGTCAGCGCTGGAACCAAGTTTGCTCTCAGGCTCTGGCTGCAACATCTGGGCAGCTGAAGGTAAGGAATGACTTGAGGGCCCACAGCACTGACCTGGGGTGGTCTAGTGCTTACTGACCCCAAGCACTTGCTGTGAATGCCTCCGCTCCCTGCAGGTAAAAGTGATGTTTACATGGAGCCCGGACCAGCAGAGGAAGGATTGGGGTCTGTGAGATGCTGGATCTACACACTTCCACTGTAAAAACCTGAGACCTGAGTTCAGTGCCTAGAATCTCCTTCTGGTGGCAGGAGGGCTCCTACTCCAAAAAGCTGTCCCCTATTGTCCACATGCCAAGCAAAGGCACATATGCCCAAATACGCAGTAATAAAAAATTTCAAACGTCTTCTAAAAGTGAAAAGACGGAGCATGGACCCTCTTCCCCACAAACCAGGGGCCTGAAAATTGAGATACGAAATCACAGAACATTCACAACCTTTATTGTAGGCAAGAACCCTGCTACACCTCTGGGAACAGAAAGTAAAATCACAACATAGGGCCTTGACCCTACAAGGGCCTGAGTACTGGGAAGGAGAACACAGAGCCCCCATGTCCCACAAAAGGTGCAGAATGATCTAGGCCTGACCACAGGTCACTAGAAGCATAGACCCTTGGTTGTTTAGCATAAGAAACATTGTGAACTTAAATATATAAATAGAGAGACCCAGGCAGTAGGCAGGCCCGAGGCCCTGGGCATCACAACTAAGGCCTTGTTTCCTCCTCAAGTCAGACTGGGAAGTAGAAGGCAGGAGTGTCATCTTTGGATAATTTTGGGTTTTCTTATTTATGTACAAAAAAGAAATCTGCAACCCCAAATAGAGTTCTCTGTCCTTCTCTGAAGCCTCATATCTCAGATCTGCCTGCCACCGGTATGGCCAAAGAGAACAGAACGGACATGAAAAGGACAGACAGACAGGTTTGGGAAGGGAAGGCGTCCTGCGGGCCAGCAAAGTGCCTTTTCCCCAAGAGGCCGTAGACCTGGTAAAGGCTGAGGATCCCCCTCTTTCCTTCAGCTCCTCTCTCTCCATCTGCCTCCCACTGCCTAGGTCACCATACCCAAAGGAATGTGCAACCATCAAAATACTTCCAAAAACAGACCCCAACACCCTTTAAAACAGGTTAAATGTTAACCCTTTGAGTACCGGCCTTATTAGGCAGAGAAAAGATCAAAAGTAGGTATCCATGAAGGCCTGGTCTGGCCTCTGGCCAAAGACCCCTGAGGGATCAGGGTAGCCAGGGGTTGGGAACCCACAGCACACCTGCTCAGTGCTGGGGGGCAGAGAAGGTTTTGTAATCCAAGTAACTCAATCCAAGGAAATGACATCTGACCGACAGCCAGTCAAAGAGGGACCTGAAGGCAAGGGTCCACCGTGCCCTTCCCTCAAGGAACTCCCGGGAGCCACAATGCTGCTGACACGGCCAGGAGGGGGCGCTGGAGTGGCGCTGCGGTGAGAGCTCCCCAGTGTGGGGACCAGAGGGCCCAGGAAGTGAGAAGGGGTTCCCCGGTACTGGAAGAAGTGGCCGAGGGTGTCCTGTTCATCTAGCGAGGTGATGACGGAAGGGCCGTAGTGCTGGGGATAAAGAGCACAGCTGCCGTTTCCCTTGCCTGCCACCTCCCAGAACTCATCCGGGAACTGTTTTGTGGGTACCAACCCTCATGATCTCAAGGCATTCTTGAGAAGAAAAGAGGGGGACCTCGCCAACTCTGCCCTACTTCCCCAGACAGTTCCCCCGTGCCTTGCCTTAGACAGCCCCTCCGGATACCCAGTTCTTGGCTTTGTGGGTGTCGGCAATGTGTGTGACACCCACTAGGAAAGGCTCTGCGTACATGCAGGGGTGAGTAGGCAGAAAGAGAACTGCATGGCGGTAGCCAGGAAGGCACAGGTGTGAACATGCAGTGCCAGTGGGAATAGGGAGATAAGCTGCTATGCTCTCCTCCCATGGGAAAGCATTTTGAAATCCCTAGGGAAACTGGGCAGGGAAAGACAATGCCATCAGTAACGAGAAAGGAATCTTCTGAGGTCTGACTACTTACCTGACTCTCAGTCTGAAGGAAAGAAAATAAATCTAAACCTGGTAGAAAAGGAAAAATCACAATCAACCCCCTTCTAACTCCTTCACTACAAGAAAACATCCCCCTACCCAAGCTCCGCAAAGAAACAGGTCTAGAGAGGGTGTAACAGGGCGGGACCCCACCCACCCACTTAGGATGTGTGTTATACCTTGGATGTCAGCCCCCAGTGGGAAGGCAGGTGGGTACTCATGTAGTGGGAGGCTGGACAGGAAATCACTGCCCAGGGTGCCCATCGCAGGGCTCCGCAGCACCGAAGATGGCTGGTGACCAGATGTCAGGACTCTGAGGGAAGGGAAGGAGCTGGAGAAGCTAGCCAAGTACAGATACTCACGGTCCGGTCCCAGTCCATCCTCCCTTCCCTGTCCCGAGGCCTGCCTATGAGCAGATAGCAGTTCTGCCCTCCTGTCTCCTCGCCTTTCCTCATACCCTTTGCCTCCAGGAAGGGCAGGGATGGCGGCCAAGGTGACAGGGCAGTGCTTCTTGGTCGGGGGCAGATCTTCCTCATCTGAGGAGCTTTCCATCGTCAGGTCAATAACTTCAACCCTCTTCTTATTCTCTGACGGATTCCCCTCCTGGACTGGGCTATACTGGAGGCCTGGGGTGGTTAAGAAGACTGTGTCTCAGAAAAAGGGCCATCTGTGATCTAGCTCAATTGGGGAGCAGGGGGTCACTCACCATCCAGCCCATACCCTGGCGGGGGGCAAACCTCAGATGCCTCCTTCTTAGGTTTCATTGGACACCAGGATCCATCTTCCATGAACTGGATCTCATCACAATCCGAACAGGAATTAAGAATTTCCATGAATAAACTAGGGGAGGAGGACATGGGAATTCACTGGGACACCAGTCAGTGTTCTGAGACTCACTTCCTGTACCGTAGTGTCCTCATCTGTACTATGCGCCTTACTGGACCTCTCAGAGTCGTTGCTGGAACAGCAGTAAAGCACAGGCTGGGGCTGTAGCTTAATAACAGAGACTCGCTTAGCATGCAGGCCCCAAGTTTGATCCCTAGCATTGTGGGGGCCAGTATGCAAAAGACAGGGTTTCTCTGTGTAGCACTGGCTGTCCTGGAACTCACTCTATAGACCAGGCTGGCCTTGAACTCAGAGATCCACCTGTTTCTACCTCCCTAAGTGCTGGGATTAAATGCACGGGCCACCAGGTCCGGCAAACTTCCCAAATTTTAGGTGCAGGCTTAACCTTCTCAAAAGACAATCTGAGAGCCCTAATGGAGGCTGTACAAGGAGATTACGACTACTTAATGAGATCTGGGGCCCTCTTCTGGCCCGCAGGACATGTAAACAGAACACTGTATACTTAATAAATAAATAAATCTTTAAAAAAAAAAAAAGAAAGTGTCAGGGCATGCACTTAAAAAAGAAAAAAAAACCTTATTATGCCAATATAATAAATGCCATTTATAACAGCAAAAATGAAAAGGCATGTGACTTGTGACTTGCTAAGCACAGTGGGAATCTCAGGTAGCTGTTATCAGCAGTATATCGGGACAATTCACCATTTACTCTGCCACTTGCTAATGTGACCTTCCAGGTCATGTAAACAGGACCTGGAAGGGCGGCACTCATGCTGTGGGCTGTTATGAGGACTGAGAAAATGCTGAGCATGATGTCTTCCCTAAGTCCTTGATGTCATTCACACATGGATGACTGAAGGAGATGAGGGTGAGAGCTGGGAGTAAGGAAGCCATAAAGAGGGGGGCACCTAAGCGACTGTCCTAGGAGAGGGGGAAACAGCGAAGCCCTACCCGTCGATAATAAGGGATTCATAGGGAGCCTTCTTATCGCACACAGGACACGTCCACGTTGGCTTCTTCTCATTCATCTGTAGATAAAGGGCGGCATCGAAGCTTTGCAGATGGGCACAGGTAAGGGCGCGGCATGGGACAGTCAGGCGCATCTTTCCTAGCTGATGAGAGCAGAGGTCAGGTGAGAAAACTTGGCTCTAGTATCTTTAGGAACCCCCTTCAGACTGTAACCCAACCCCCCTCCCACTTCCTTTCGCCCCGTGTACCCACCGGGCACATGAGTGACACCCGGAGACTCGTAGTAGCCACCTCACTGTCAGGGTCAGCGGTCAGTTTCTCCTTGACTGAAACGAGAGTGGGGCCAGAGCCCTGGGGTCGGCGAGGCCGGAGGCAGCCCGGAGGCAGCCCGGAGGCAGCCCGGAGGCAGCCCGGAGGCAGCCAGGAGGCAGAGAGGCCGCTGAGCATTGTCTTTGGGGCCCGTGGCACCGGACAGGAGCGGATCTAGATCTAGAAGGTATGGAGAAGAGATTTCTCCGTACCTGAAGATCTTTAACCACCGCAAGGGAAAATGTGGGCTATGTTTGGGATGATCTAGATGGAAGGGAAGCATCGCGTGAGGATTAGGTCGAATGAACTTTAGGGCTTTTCAGTACAGAAAACTGTATCTTAGTAGGGGTGGACCTGGGGTCTTGGAGTTGCAGAAGAGTTGTGTGACTGGGAATGCAAAGCTATTGCATTGCTTGAGGATCTAATTCCTCACCCACAGAGACTGAGGAGAAGCATCGGGGAGAGACAGCCAGAGATCACCTAAGAGAGCTTGTGATAAAGTCTGGAGGGCAGCAGGAACCCCTGACCCAAGGAAAAGGCTGGTACTCACTCAGTGCCCGGGAATGGTCTGGATTCCGGATACCCTTCGCTCTGAGTTTCTGTAGAAGGGTCCCTGCAGTCAGCTGCCTCACCAGGTACACAGACAAGGAGTAATTCTACTTGGGGAAGGGGGAGGGGGAGTTAGCTGCTGCTTCCTGCCTCCCCTTCCCCACAGGCTCTGTCTCACGAGGACCAGAGATGGTGGCCTTAAGCAGAGAGGCCCATGAAGAGCAAGATGGATCCCCAACCCCAAACTAGAAGGCTCCCCTGCAGCCTCTGCAGGCCTTCTGGCTATGCTCACCCGTCCAAACTCAGATGACCAATTAACCACAATGGTGTTGGGAACCGTGGCTGAGAGCCGAGCCAGGGATGTGATGTTGATTGGACGGCTGGGCCTCTTGGGCTCAGCTCCATTCTTGGTTGGGGGGAGGTAACCCTGAGGAAGGGAGGGACTTGTTAGAGACAGAGTGCTGGGAAGGGGTTCAACTCTCAAAAACCCTGTCTCAGATTACTCTGGAGGGAGGCCAGCTCGCTCAGGAGCAACGGAGTCAGGATCCATGCTGCCGTGGCGATGCTAAAACATGGGCCCTACACAGGGCGGGGTGAGAGGTTCACTTCCGGGGGGGGG